GCCTAGTATATGATGTATTCTTGAAAATGTTCCATGTGCACTTGAGAAGCCTGTGTGTCCTGTTGCTTTTAGATGGAGTGTTCTGTAGATGTCTGTTAGGTCCATCTGTTGTAATACATTGTTTAGTGCCTCTGTCTCCTTACTTATTGTCTGGTGATCTGTCCTTTGGAGCCAATGGAGTGTTGAAGTCTCCAAAATGAGTGTACTGCATCCTATTTCCCCTTTAATTCTGTTAGTATTTGTTTCACATATGTAGGTGATCCTATGTTGGGTGCATAGATATTTATAACAGTTATGTCCTCTGTTGGACTGACCCTTTTATCATTATGTAATGTCCTTCTTTGTCTCTTGTTACTTTCTTTGTTTTGAAGACTATTTTGTCTTATACAAGTACTGCAACTCCTGCTTTTTTCTCCCCATTAGTTGCATGAAATATCTTTTTCCACCCCTTTACTTTGAGTGTGTTTGTCTTTGGGTTTGAAGTGAGTTTCTTGTAGGCAGCATATAGATGGGTCTTGTTTTGTTTTTTTTAATTAAGGTATCATTGATATATATACTCTTATGAAGGTTTCACAAGAAAAGCAATGTGGATATTACATTCACCCTTATTATCAAGTCCCCTCCCTCCATACCCCATGGCAGTCACCGTCCATCAGTGTAGTAAGATGCCACAAAGCCCCTATTTGTCTTCTCTGAGCTGTACTGTCTTCCCTGTGACCCCACATACACCATGGGTTTGGTTTGGTTTTCCATTCTATGACTCTATGTCTTTTAATTGGTGCATTCAGACCATTTACATTTAGGATGATTATTGATAGGTATGTACTTATTATCATTGCAGGCTTTAGATTTGTGATTACCAAAGATTCAAGGGTAATTCCCTTACTATCTAACAGTCTAATTTAACTCACTTAGTATGCTATTAAAAACAAAACCTAAAGGTTCTTTTTTTCCCTCCTTTTTCTTCCTCCTCCATTCTTTATATATTAGGTATCATATTCTGTACTCTTTTACTATCCCTTGATTGACTTTGGTGGTAGTTGATTTGATTTTGCATCTACTTAGTAATTAATTGTTCTACTTACTTTACTGTGGCTTTATTTCCCCTAGTGACAGCTATTTAGCCTTAGGAATAATTCTATCTATATCAGTCCCTTCAAAATACACTGTAGAGGTGGTTTTTGGGAGGTAAATTCTCTCAGCTTTTGCTTATCTGAAAATTGTTTAATCCCTCCTTCAAATCTAAATTATAATCTTCCCAAGTAGAGTATTCTTGGTTTAAAGCCCTTCTGTTTCATTGCATTAAATATATCATGCCACTCCCTTCTGGCATGTAAGGTTTCTGTTGAGAGGTCTGATGATAGCCTGATGGATTTTCCTTTGCATGTGATCTTTTTTCTCTCTTTGGCTGCTTTTAATACTCTGTTCCTATCCTTGATATTTTTCATTTTAATTATTATATGTCTTGGTGTTGTCCTCCTTGGGTCCCTTGTGTTGGGAGACCTGTGCACCTCCATGGCCTAAGAGCTATCTCCTTCCCCAGATTGGGGAAGTTTTCAGCAGTTACCTCCTCAAAGACACTATCTATCTCTTTTTCTGTCTCTTCTTCTTTTGGTACCCCTATAATGTGAGTTTTGTTCCATTTGGATTGGCTACACAGTTCTCTCAATATTCTTTCATTCCTGGAGATCCTTTTTCTTTCTGTTCCTCAGCTTCGTCTCTTCTACTACATTTAATCTGCTTTTAAATTCCTCCATTGTGTTTCTTTTCAGATATAGAATTTCTTAATGATTGACTCCCCATCCTAAATTCATCCCTTAATTCTTGAATATTTTTCTGTATGTCCATGAGCATGTTTATGATTTTAATTTTTAACTCTATTTCAGGAAGATTGGTGAGTTTGTTTCACTTGGGCCTTTTTTTTTGGTGTTTGTGAGATTTTGGGTTGAACCAGGTTCCTTTGCCATTTCATAATTGTGTGTGGTGCCCTCTAGTGCCCAGAAGCTTTAGTCTCTGGAGCTGCTCAACCCATGGAGTGATGTTGGGTGTTGCAGGGGGAGGGGGCGGAAGTAGCCGTTTTCTGCTTCCTGGCTGCAGTGCCTGTCTCCACTGTCAGAACCAGTGGGCTGAGCACACAGGTGTAAGCCTCTGTGCTTTGTTTTTGTAGCTGCCAAAGGTGGGGCCTCCCTGTGTCTGGTCTGACCCAAGGGCAGCGACTGCCGGTTTGCAAGCCAGTTCCGGCAGGCGAGGAGGAAGGCGTAGCAGGCTGCATATTATAGTGGGGGGCCTCGGGGCCAAGTAGCCAGCCACAGGGATGGAGCGCCTGAAGCTCCTGAAAGTTCCCAACCTGCCGGGCAGAACGTGTCCAGACAACCTTGTCACCTATCCCTTCTCCAAAGCAGCAAGCTCTGTGCAGTCCCCGCCCCTTCAGCAGCCCTCTTGCTACTAGGAAGCCTCTCAGACTGCCCTCCATTCCTTTGTCCCAGAGCAGCTGGATATGGATCCCTGTCCTCCACAAATGGCTGGAATCTTGGTCTCTCCAAGTATTCCATCTGTCTTAGCTTTCCAACCCTACTAATGTCCAGAGCATCATGCAGTGTAGGTTTTTCCTCCCAAAGCAGATCTCCAGGGCCAGTTGTTCAGCAGTCCTAGGCTTCCACCCCCTCTCCACTCTGTTTCTCTTCCTCCTGCCAGTGAGCTGGGGTGGGGGAAGGGCTTGGGTCCCACCAGATCAGGGCTTTGGTATATTATTCTGTTTTGTGACGTCTGCTCTGTTCTTCAGGTGTATGCAGTCTGGTGCAGCCTTATTTCCTGTTGCTCTTATGGGATTAGTTGTATTAACTATATTTTCATATTATATGTGGTTTTGGGAGGAGTTCTCTGTCTCATGTCTCATGCCGCCATCTTTAATTGCAGGCTCAATTTTTTAAAAGAAGAATATTTCATAGGCAGTACTTTGTAATTCTTACATGTTACCAGGAAATACATAATGTATGGTAGTCTTTCTTCTTGCTACTACTGATTAATAAGTAGACATCATCTTAACCCGATCTTCTATCAAATCCAGAAATCCCCTCAGCAGTACTCCTTATAGATGGCCACCTCTACTACTTTAATGTCTTTAAAGGAATCAGAATCTACTCCCTTCAGGAGGTTGTAATTCTCACCTCATCTAGGGATCACACTTGACTTGATTAGAGGAGTACCAAACAGTTATAATTCTTAAACCTGGCTGCCCATCATAGTCACCTGAGGAGTGACTTATAAAAAAACAGAAATAATTTTACATAAATGGGATTATAGCACACATGCTATTTTTATTATAGACAGTTTTCTTATTTATCTCTCTCCCCACATCAGTTCCTATCTTTTACCTTTCCAAGTAAATAATCTAATGTGCATATTTCTGTATTTTTCAGTTCATATAATTCTATATAGGGCTTTTTTTGAGGGGGGTAATATTACAGATTTTTTTATTTTAATTCAACAGTGTTTCATGAAAGTCCCTCCAAGTAATCTAGTTTAACTCAATTCATTCTTTTTAGTCACTGGGAAATATTTGATATTGAGGATACCATAATGTATTTAGCCATTCTGCTGTAGATGGGTATTACTTATTTCTAGCTCTTGGCTGCTATGAACAATACCACAGTAAACTGGTAATTTTGCTTCTTATTCCCAGGAGTAAAATTGATGGTTAAGAGGGTGAATATATTTCTTCCCTCCCTCTCTCCTTCCCTCCCTCCCTTCCTTCTACCTACCTACCCATGTACCTATACAATCTTATGATGGTTTCAGATAAACAACACAGTGGTTTCAACATTCAAGAGGGCAAATATATTTCCATATTAATGGATATTTCTACACTGCTTTTTAGAAAGACTATAACATTTCACAAACATTTACTCCAACAATGTTTGACAATATTCTCCCACACTTTTAGGGGAAGCCTTTTCAAAATAAATATTCTCAGCTCCAACCACAAAGACTCTGATTCATTAGGTCTGTGGAGAGGTACAGGAAGCTGTATTTTTAAAAGCTCCAAGATGAATCTGAGGTGGTATTGGAATGACCGCATTTAAGCACCAGGAAATACTAAAAATAACTGGTCTTCTATCTTGGCATCCGGAGTATCATGCTTTAGCCAGATACATTTATTAGAATCAAAATATCAAATCAAGACATGAATTGGTGATGCACATATATGTCAAATGTAGGTCAAGGGCATGTGCATTTTCAGAATGGAATGCTTAATTAGTTGTATTGGGGCGAGCACCTTGGGAATCACATATCCAGTTTGGAGCAGCTCTTCTCTTAATAGTTTAGCAAGATTTTATGGAAGAGATAAGCATTTAGTGATTGTTTAGAATTTAAGCATTTAGTGATTGAGAGAAGCTAATGGGAAAAATAAAAGAGCATTACACATACAAAATGTTGCTGAAGAGCTCCTGCTCATAGTATTTGGAAGTAAACTCAAGAGACTTGAATTTTAATACTGGTTAAACTACTTACTATCTTTTAGACCCTGGAACCAATTTTCCTGATACATAAAATGAGGAGGTTTGGTAAGATTTCTATGATCATTTCAGTTCCTAACTGGACTGAAGATAGTAGTTCCCTTTTCATCACTGATGCTCTAGAGAATCACTATGTTGAACAATTTCCTCTGTATATAAGTATTGGGCACAAGTCTGACAGAAGCAAAGTGGTGTTTATAAAAATGGAGTGAGGCAAGATGGGAACATTCAGCTATCTGTCCATAGACCCCTTTCTCTGTAAGATTCTTCAAGGCCTGTGTTCTGAGATCCTCTTGGCCTATAGGAAACTATCCATGTTCTGAAACTCCTGTTTCTTCGTTCCAGGAGCACGTCTCCATTGGATTCAGGGATGCATATTTGTTAATTAATTAAGCAAGAACTCCCGAGTTTTGTGCTGCCAGGCTGAGTTTAGGTTCCAGAAGAAGAGATGGCATCAACTTGTATTTATGTTTTCCTCCTCAGACTCTGCAGATAGCGTGGTGAGGAGGTTGCCCTCAGCCTCTGGCCTTGGTCTCTCAAAGACTCCAGCCGCAGAAATGCAGCAAGGTCTCCATGAAGCCAGGACAGTGCCTGCTTCTCAGGTAGCAGCCTCAGTTGCTAAAGTGCATGGTATGGAGTGGTGTGTTGGGAAAGGAAGTATGGAAAGAGAGATGAGCAGTAGGGCTGGTGCTAAGGCAGGGGCAAGGTAATGTGGGGCTATTAGAAGAGAGCAAGCTCTATAGATTATTTGAGTGAGAGATTACCACAGGGCCCCTACTTTTCAAATACATCTAATTCAGGTCTCTACTAGTGGGTCTTGCCATGTTCTCTCCCATATCCCTGGGGACAGGGTCTTTGAAAACCACAGGTCTGGCGTTATGTGTCTCCCTTTGTGTGTCTGTGTATTTGAAGGCTGTACCTTGCTAAGGCCCCAGCAGGGAGGTTGATCAGCATGGTGTAGAGAACTTTCCCCAAATTTCATGCAGTCTCAATGGCACCATTGTCTTAGAGAGGGAGGAGGCCCCAGCCACTTCCCACAGTTTTATAAGGAGAATCAGGGTCTGTCCATACATAACACCCTTCTCTTACTAGGTTAAAAATATAGTGCAGGTCAAGAGGCAGGAGAAACTGAACGTTGTAATTTGGGGAAATGCTGTGTGCACTCAGCAAAAATGAGGGCACACAGTCATTTTATTGACACACATTTAGTTGGATTCCAGAGGAATGTCCTTTCCATGCAGCAGTTTTGGAAGGTGTGTTACACGGTTCCCCAAGGTGGGAAGAGTCCTAGTAGCCTTGAGAGGAGTCTCTGAGAAGTAATGGTTGCTTGGGTCAAAACCCATTGTATTAATTAAAGGAACAACAGAAGAGATGGGATGGAGTATTGTTTTTCTTTCATACCCTAGTGTACATAATTGAATGCAGTCTAGTGTGCTTTTAAGCTGAAGTGCAGCATGTGCATTAGCAAGAAAAGGAAAATGATTTAAAGTCTTTCTTGAAGCTTTTCATATGGAATATAATAATCTGTAGGTGAAAGGGACAGGGGCATCCATGTCAGCAGAGATCAACAAACTCAAATAGTTTCAGTGTCTGGACCTTGCCTTTTGAGAATTTCACATACGTAATGCAAGTTGAGTTGTTTTTTTACAATAGAAGTCAGAATGCAAAGCATTAGTGCATTGAAGCTTGTTCACCAGGTCAGTTCAATAAAAATTTAAAAACGGGTTCCTAACACATGGTAGAAAAATGAAAAGGTACAAAAGGATATACAGTGAAAACTAAGCCTGCTTCACCAGTCCCTCAGATCTAGTTTCCCCTCTAAAAGGTGGTCATTTTTTCCTAATTATTGTTTATGAGTTCCTAAACAACTGAACAGCTTGCCATTCTTTTAGGAAAAGGTGGTCTTTTCTTACCAGCATTTGTTCTTATGTATCTTTAATGCATTTAATGGCAAATTATCATTATCCTAGGAGAGCTGGTTTCCTTTCTCCTGACTTTCTGTATCATTCACTTAATTATTGATCCATTCTTTTAAACAAATGCTTATTGAATTATGTTCTAGGTCTGCTAGGTGCTGGGGGGATAGTGGTGAGTGAAATAGAGTCCGTGCTCTCATGGACTTTACAGACTACTGGGGGAGATAAGTAAGTAAATAAACAATTATGATAGGATTTAATGCTATGGAAGCATAGTAGAAGGGACATCTAAATCAGGCTTGAGGCATCAGGAAAGCTTCCTAGAGGAAGTAAAAGGATTATAGCAGGTAAAGGGACCTGAAGCAGGTATTAACTGAATTAAAAGAAGCTCATTTGATATGGCAGGATTCATCTGGTGAGGGAAGAATGAACAAGTGAGACTGGAAGTAATATAAACAATGGTCTTATCATGAACCACGGTAAGGAGTTTTGGAGGATAGAGATAAGTGGATATATTGGAGAACCAATGAGGAAAGAAAAATCAGTAAGACTTGGTACCTGCCTGTTGGATATGGGGAGAGGAGAATCAAGAATGATACCCAGGAATTATGGGTTGATAATGATACACTTGAGAGAAGCTGTAATATATTTGAAGGAAAAGATGTATACAATTATGGATATATTAAGTTTCAGTGGAGATATCTGGTTGGCCTTTGGATGTGAGACATATAAGCTGGAAATTGAGATTTGAGGATCATAGTCATTGAAAAGAGGAAAAGAATATTGTGAACAGAGATAAGCTACGACATATAAATCTGGCATAGGAGTGTCAGATTTAAGGTGGTTCTTCTGAAGAATGCTAAAAGAGACCACAGAGATAGAAGGGAAACCTGGGAAGTGTGGTGTCATTGTCTTCTGTCCAGAAGAAAGGAATTGTTGGCTGTGTCACATGCTAAGGAGGAGTGGGACCTGGTCCTTAGGCTGTAATGGCAAATGCCACTATGGGCCATGCTGTGGAGGTGCTATGAGCATACACTGATGAGACAATGCAAATTTTGCCCTTGAATAGCTTACAGAGTAGTACAGGAAAAATAGGCCATACCGGCATACAGATTATTTTGTATTCTAGGTGCTTTTCTGGAGTAAAAAAAGATGTATTTTACTAAGACAGAAAGATAATAAACAAGTTAACCACAAACAATGTGTAATAAAGTTGAAGAAAACAAAGCAAAGGAACAGGAGTAAAGAGGTAATAGTGATTATTCACAGGACTATTTATGATAGAGTAGTGAGGGAAATTAACTCTGAGGAAGTGACATTTGATCAGAGACCTCAGTGATATTTATTGTGAGTCATGGGAAGAACATTCCAGGTTAACAGAAACAGTAAATGTAAAGGCCCTGAGTTGGAATGAGCTCACTGTGTTTTGGAACATTAAGAAAGTTAGAGTGTAAAAGGCATAGGAATGATAGGAGATAAAGTGAGAAAGATCAGCAATGCCATATCACACAGGAACTTTGAGGCCTATGAAACAGCAAGGAGGTAGCCAGTGACATAAGAAGATCTGATTTGAGGCTCTTGCAGTGGTCCAGTTGAGTTTAGATATGAAACCTATAGGTAGAAATGACAGTGCTTGGCAAAGGCAACTAATGAAATTGTGTATAAGAAGTGCAAAATCAGGGCAATGTCAACATTTAAGTTAAGGCAACTTAGAAAATGTGGTACCAGGAGGAGGAGTTTGGAAGGATGTTGGGTTGATTTTGGATGTATTAGTGTTTCAGATGTTAAAGGGGGTATTTCTGAAACTTTGCAACATAAATGACTGACTAATGGAGTAGAGCGGGATATAAGCATCAGTGGGTACAAACTTGACAGGCAAAAGAGGAGACTGGAAGGTAGTGGTGACAGGAGAAAAGACAGAGTAGTTGAGTTCTTGCTTGTACATTTGAGGAGATATATTTTAGTTCCCCAAATTATGGAGGGTATAGAATTTTCTTTTTCAATCTCTCAGGCTCTTTGAAATTTTCTCTCATTTCTTCTCTATTTTTGAATTTCTATTCAAAGGAAGACAGGTTAAGGGAAGATTTGCACTTTGGCGTCTTCTGTTCCTAGTGGTCAGGGTTTCCTGGTGTGGCTGGTGGGGAAAGTGACTGAGTAAACTGGGTCTCTCTCCAGAATAAGGCACTTTTGCACTCTAGTTTCCTCCATCTCCCCATGCTTGCCTCACTGTGTTTACCCAACCATATCCTGCTGTGTGTTAATCCTCATCTCTGTTTTTTTGTCTTGTCTCATTACAAGGATTCATCAGATATGAGGAAAAAGCCTTTGGAAACTGGGCACCGTTGTTCCAGCTCCTCTTCCCTCCCTGTCATCCATGACCCTCCTTTGTTTCTCCTTGGTCCCCAACTCTATCCACCCCAACCACAGTTCCTGTCCCCAGAAGTCTTGATGCCCAGCATGGCAGGGGAGCCCCATAGAACCCCAGGTAACTTTCCCCAAATCTAATGTTATGTGCCAGAATATGGTACCTTTCCAGGGACCTAAAAGGATAAAATCAAAATACCTCTTGGGGTTGGGCAGTGGGGGAAGGGATATGAATTACTAATTTAAGATCAGTCACTGATCCAGATGAATGGTGATTGAATCATTTCTGGGGCAGCATGGGTCTTAGACTGAGGATCTAGACCAGAACTCCCAGAATCTAACTCCCCATGAAAATGAACTGGGTCAGTCATAGGGTAAGCTTTTAAGTGACCAAGAGTAATTAACACCTAGTCTTAAGACCCCCTGAAAACAGATAATGTCATCTCTTACCAGCTAGTTCTTTCTCCTTTTATCCCCTGAAATCTCAGCTGAGATATGGTTTAGGAGGACAAGGAGTGAATTGTGAGACTTGGAAAGCCCCTGTACATGAGATACCCATGCCATATATACAGACAATCCTAGGAGAGAAAGTTGGCAGCATCCTCACAGCTTTCTTTGACCCTCTACAGCAAGATTTGCCCCTTTTCCTCCTCACAGACTGAATCTACAGCTTATGGCAGTGATTCTCACTGGGAAAGGAGTGGTGCTACTGGTGTTTAGTGGGTGGAGGCCAGGGATGATGCTAAACACCCTGCAGTGCACATGGCACTTTCCCTGAATCTCCCTCTCCCCCAAAACAAAGAGTTGGCAGCCCAATACCAGTAGTGCTGAGGTTGAGAAACCTTGGCATGGGGATATAAATGCCTGGAGTAGCACATGGTTGTGGTTCCAGAACATAAGATAGAGTAGTAGTATTGACATTTGCATCCAAATTTTAGGGAGTTTTGGATAAGCAGATCTTATGGAGAGGTAGACTTTCTATTACTCAGTGAAGCAGCTAGTTAGCTAGCCTCCCTTGACAGTTGTTAGTGTCATCTGATTAGTCAGGCAGCATTTATTGCAGCCTTTTCTGCACCAAATGCTATAGTGAATACAGGGAGAAAGAAGACAGCTCTCTACTCTTAAAGAGCTCAGAGTTTAGATAAGCAGAAAATACAAACATGCAAGAGTATATTGCAGGTGTTGATGGGTTATAAAATGAAGAATGGAAAAGTATTTTTTGAAAGTGACTTTTGAAAAATTAAGTAAAGGGGAATTAATGTTTAGAAAAGGCATTCCCATTGTATATGTGGGAGGAATGGTATGAACAAAAGCAGAGATCTCAGAGAATGAGCAAGAATGTAAACAGAAACAACTTAGCTGGAGTACAGATACCATACTGAGAAAAGCTGAGTGATGTTTTGGAGTGGTGGCTCTAGGAATAGAGTTGTCACAATAAGTATATATTTGCAATATAATACAATATAATATATGATATTATATTAGAGCCATTCGAGTGCGTGTCTGTGTGTGTGTGTGTGTGTGTTGAAGAAGAATTATGGTGGAGTGTGGTAGAAGTATGGCAACATCCAAGAAACTTTCATTTGCCCTGGTTGGAGGTAAGAGAATTGATTTTGATGTATACTAAGAGTTTTTAAAAATGATATTAAAAGCAGAGCTAGTTTCCTTCTTTCCCTTGTATGTATGTTCTGGGAGAGGTGGGGAGAACAGCCAGGAATATTACTCTAGGAAGGAGAACAGTTTACTGAAGATACTCAGTAAGCTGGATTTTTCTTTTCTTTTCCCAGGAACTTCGAGGAGTATCCAGCAGTTTCTGGCTATGTGTGACAGGGGTGAAAGTTGCCAGGGGGTCACGTACACAGGAAGGACTTTGAACTACCAGAGTCTTCCCCATCGTTCCAGAACAGATGAGGTAATGTGGGGCTATTAGAAGAGAGCAAGCTCTATAGATTATTTGAGTGAGAGATTACCACAGGGCCCCTACTTTTCAAATACATCTAATTCAGGTCTCTACTAGTGGGTCTTGCCATGTTCTCTCCCATATCCCTGGGGACAGGGTCTTTGAAAACCACAGGTCTGGCGTTATGTGTCTCCCTTTGTGTGTCTGTGTATTTGAAGGCTGTACCTTGCTAAGGCCCCAGCAGGGAGGTTGATCAGCATGGTGTAGAGAACTTTCCCCAAATTTCATGCAGTCTCAATGGCACCATTGTCTTAGAGAGGGAGGAGGCCCCAGCCACTTCCCACAGTTTTATAAGGAGAATCAGGGTCTGTCCATACATAACACCCTTCTCTTACTAGGTTAAAAATATAGTGCAGGTCAAGAGGCAGGAGAAACTGAACGTTGTAATTTGGGGAAATGCTGTGTGCACTCAGCAAAAATGAGGGCACACAGTCATTTTATTGACACACATTTAGTTGGATTCCAGAGGAATGTCCTTTCCATGCAGCAGTTTTGGAAGGTGTGTTACACGGTTCCCCAAGGTGGGAAGAGTCCTAGTAGCCTTGAGAGGAGTCTCTGAGAAGTAATGGTTGCTTGGGTCAAAACCCATTGTATTAATTAAAGGAACAACAGAAGAGATGGGATGGAGTATTGTTTTTCTTTCATACCCTAGTGTACATAATTGAATGCAGTCTAGTGTGCTTTTAAGCTGAAGTGCAGCATGTGCATTAGCAAGAAAAGGAAAATGATTTAAAGTCTTTCTTGAAGCTTTTCATATGGAATATAATAATCTGTAGGTGAAAGGGACAGGGGCATCCATGTCAGCAGAGATCAACAAACTCAAATAGTTTCAGTGTCTGGACCTTGCCTTTTGAGAATTTCACATACGTAATGCAAGTTGAGTTGTTTTTTTACAATAGAAGTCAGAATGCAAAGCATTAGTGCATTGAAGCTTGTTCACCAGGTCAGTTCAATAAAAATTTAAAAACGGGTTCCTAACACATGGTAGAAAAATGAAAAGGTACAAAAGGATATACAGTGAAAACTAAGCCTGCTTCACCAGTCCCTCAGATCTAGTTTCCCCTCTAAAAGGTGGTCATTTTTTCCTAATTATTGTTTATGAGTTCCTAAACAACTGAACAGCTTGCCATTCTTTTAGGAAAAGGTGGTCTTTTCTTACCAGCATTTGTTCTTATGTATCTTTAATGCATTTAATGGCAAATTATCATTATCCTAGGAGAGCTGGTTTCCTTTCTCCTGACTTTCTGTATCATTCACTTAATTATTGATCCATTCTTTTAAACAAATGCTTATTGAATTATGTTCTAGGTCTGCTAGGTGCTGGGGGGATAGTGGTGAGTGAAATAGAGTCCGTGCTCTCATGGACTTTACAGACTACTGGGGGAGATAAGTAAGTAAATAAACAATTATGATAGGATTTAATGCTATGGAAGCATAGTAGAAGGGACATCTAAATCAGGCTTGAGGCATCAGGAAAGCTTCCTAGAGGAAGTAAAAGGATTATAGCAGGTAAAGGGACCTGAAGCAGGTATTAACTGAATTAAAAGAAGCTCATTTGATATGGCAGGATTCATCTGGTGAGGGAAGAATGAACAAGTGAGACTGGAAGTAATATAAACAATGGTCTTATCATGAACCACGGTAAGGAGTTTTGGAGGATAGAGATAAGTGGATATATTGGAGAACCAATGAGGAAAGAAAAATCAGTAAGACTTGGTACCTGCCTGTTGGATATGGGGAGAGGAGAATCAAGAATGATACCCAGGAATTATGGGTTGATAATGATACACTTGAGAGAAGCTGTAATATATTTGAAGGAAAAGATGTATACAATTATGGATATATTAAGTTTCAGTGGAGATATCTGGTTGGCCTTTGGATGTGAGACATATAAGCTGGAAATTGAGATTTGAGGATCATAGTCATTGAAAAGAGGAAAAGAATATTGTGAACAGAGATAAGCTACGACATATAAATCTGGCATAGGAGTGTCAGATTTAAGGTGGTTCTTCTGAAGAATGCTAAAAGAGACCACAGAGATAGAAGGGAAACCTGGGAAGTGTGGTGTCATTGTCTTCTGTCCAGAAGAAAGGAATTGTTGGCTGTGTCACATGCTAAGGAGGAGTGGGACCTGGTCCTTAGGCTGTAATGGCAAATGCCACTATGGGCCATGCTGTGGAGGTGCTATGAGCATACACTGATGAGACAATGCAAATTTTGCCCTTGAATAGCTTACAGAGTAGTACAGGAAAAATAGGCCATACCGGCATACAGATTATTTTGTATTCTAGGTGCTTTTCTGGAGTAAAAAAAGATGTATTTTACTAAGACAGAAAGATAATAAACAAGTTAACCACAAACAATGTGTAATAAAGTTGAAGAAAACAAAGCAAAGGAACAGGAGTAAAGAGGTAATAGTGATTATTCACAGGACTATTTATGATAGAGTAGTGAGGGAAATTAACTCTGAGGAAGTGACATTTGATCAGAGACCTCAGTGATATTTATTGTGAGTCATGGGAAGAACATTCCAGGTTAACAGAAACAGTAAATGTAAAGGCCCTGAGTTGGAATGAGCTCACTGTGTTTTGGAACATTAAGAAAGTTAGAGTGTAAAAGGCATAGGAATGATAGGAGATAAAGTGAGAAAGATCAGCAATGCCATATCACACAGGAACTTTGAGGCCTATGAAACAGCAAGGAGGTAGCCAGTGACATAAGAAGATCTGATTTGAGGCTCTTGCAGTGGTCCAGTTGAGTTTAGATATGAAACCTATAGGTAGAAATGACAGTGCTTGGCAAAGGCAACTAATGAAATTGTGTATAAGAAGTGCAAAATCAGGGCAATGTCAACATTTAAGTTAAGGCAACTTAGAAAATGTGGTACCAGGAGGAGGAGTTTGGAAGGATGTTGGGTTGATTTTGGATGTATTAGTGTTTCAGATGTTAAAGGGGGTATTTCTGAAACTTTGCAACATAAATGACTGACTAATGGAGTAGAGCGGGATATAAGCATCAGTGGGTACAAACTTGACAGGCAAAAGAGGAGACTGGAAGGTAGTGGTGACAGGAGAAAAGACAGAGTAGTTGAGTTCTTGCTTGTACATTTGAGGAGATATATTTTAGTTCCCCAAATTATGGAGGGTATAGAATTTTCTTTTTCAATCTCTCAGGCTCTTTGAAATTTTCTCTCATTTCTTCTCTATTTTTGAATTTCTATTCAAAGGAAGACAGGTTAAGGGAAGATTTGCACTTTGGCGTCTTCTGTTCCTAGTGGTCAGGGTTTCCTGGTGTGGCTGGTGGGGAAAGTGACTGAGTAAACTGGGTCTCTCTCCAGAATAAGGCACTTTTGCACTCTAGTTTCCTCCATCTCCCCATGCTTGCCTCACTGTGTTTACCCAACCATATCCTGCTGTGTGTTAATCCTCATCTCTGTTTTTTTGTCTTGTCTCATTACAAGGATTCATCAGATATGAGGAAAAAGCCTTTGGAAACTGGGCACCGTTGTTCCAGCTCCTCTTCCCTCCCTGTCATCCATGACCCTCCTTTGTTTCTCCTTGGTCCCCAACTCTATCCACCCCAACCACAGTTCCTGTCCCCAGAAGTCTTGATGCCCAGCATGGCAGGGGAGCCCCATAGAACCCCAGGTAACTTTCCCCAAATCTAATGTTATGTGCCAGAATATGGTACCTTTCCAGGGACCTAAAAGGATAAAATCAAAATACCTCTTGGGGTTGGGCAGTGGGGGAAGGGATATGAATTACTAATTTAAGATCAGTCACTGATCCAGATGAATGGTGATTGAATCATTTCTGGGGCAGCATGGGTCTTAGACTGAGGATCTAGACCAGAACTCCCAGAATCTAACTCCCCATGAAAATGAACTGGGTCAGTCATAGGGTAAGCTTTTAAGTGACCAAGAGTAATTAACACCTAGTCTTAAGACCCCCTGAAAACAGATAATGTCATCTCTTACCAGCTAGTTCTTTCTCCTTTTATCCCCTGAAATCTCAGCTGAGATATGGTTTAGGAGGACAAGGAGTGAATTGTGAGACTTGGAAAGCCCCTGTACATGAGATACCCATGCCATATATACAGACAATCCTAGGAGAGAAAGTTGGCAGCATCCTCACAGCTTTCTTTGACCCTCTACAGCAAGATTTGCCCCTTTTCCTCCTCACAGACTGAATCTACAGCTTATGGCAGTGATTCTCACTGGGAAAGGAGTGGTGCTACTGGTGTTTAGTGGGTGGAGGCCAGGGATGATGCTAAACACCCTGCAGTGCACATGGCACTTTCCCTGAATCTCCCTCTCCCCCAAAACAAAGAGTTGGCAGCCCAATACCAGTAGTGCTGAGGTTGAGAAACCTTGGCATGGGGATATAAATGCCTGGAGTAGCACATGGTTGTGGTTCCAGAACATAAGATAGAGTAGTAGTATTGACATTTGCATCCAAATTTTAGGGAGTTTTGGATAAGCAGATCTTATGGAGAGGTAGACTTTCTATTACTCAGTGAAGCAGCTAGTTAGCTAGCCTCCCTTGACAGTTGTTAGTGTCATCTGATTAGTCAGGCAGCATTTATTGCAGCCTTTTCTGCACCAAATGCTATAGTGAATACAGGGAGAAAGAAGACAGCTCTCTACTCTTAAAGAGCTCAGAGTTTAGATAAGCAGAAAATACAAACATGCAAGAGTATATTGCAGGTGTTGATGGGTTATAAAATGAAGAATGGAAAAGTATTTTTTGAAAGTGACTTTTGAAAAATTAAGTAAAGGGGAATTAATGTTTAGAAAAGGCATTCCCATTGTATATGTGGGAGGAATGGTATGAACAAAAGCAGAGATCTCAGAGAATGAGCAAGAATGTAAACAGAAACAACTTAGCTGGAGTACAGATACCATACTGAGAAAAGCTGAGTGATGTTTTGGAGTGGTGGCTCTAGGAATAGAGTTGTCACAATAAGTATATATTTGCAATATAATACAATATAATATATGATATTATATTAGAGCCATTCGAGTGCGTGTCTGTGTGTGTGTGTGTGTGTGTTGAAGAAGAATTATGGTGGAGTGTGGTAGAAGTATGGCAACATCCAAGAAACTTTCATTTGCCCTGGTTGGAGGTAAGAGAATTGATTTTGATGTATACTAAGAGTTTTTAAAAATGATATTAAAAGCAGAGCTAGTTTCCTTCTTTCCCTTGTATGTATGTTCTGGGAGAGGTGGGGAGAACAGCCAGGAATATTACTCTAGGAAGGAGAACAGTTTACTGAAGATACTCAGTAAGCTGGATTTTTCTTTTCTTTTCCCAGGAACTTCGAGGAGTATCCAGCAGTTTCTGGCTATGTGTGACAGGGGTGAAAGTTGCCAGGGGGTCACGTACACAGGAAGGACTTTGAACTACCAGAGTCTTCCCCATCGTTCCAGAACAGATGCCTCCTGGGGATCATGGTCAGAGACCAACCAACATACTGGAGCCAGATTCCTGAGTACTCCAGGGTGCAAGCCTCAGCTAACACACACTGCCACACTACCTGAAAGATACCAGGGTGTTCAGGTTCCTCATGCTCAGTCTTGGGGGGATCTTTTCCACTCACCCTCCTACCCTCCCATTGTTCACCCTGTGTCCCCACAAACAAGCAATCTTCATGTACCCTCACGGTTCACTTGGAATTCAGGTCCTGTCCCGGGGACTAAAGCCCCTGGTCCTCGAAGAGTAGATATGCCCCCAGATGATGACTGGAGGCAAAGAAGTTATGCTTCACAGTCTGGGCACAGGAGGACAGGGGGAGATGAATTTCTGTCTGTTCTAGCAGATGCCTCTGGAAGAGAGCAAATCAGGGCCAGAGCCCTACAGCAAAGCAGGTGGTAAGGGTCACCCCTTTCCTTTTCTGGAGCCACAGCTTTCTCAACCTATACTGTGGCAAAACTGGTACCCTGCATCCCTGCCAGGGTTGTGCTAGTCTCATCTCAACATACAGTTGGCAGTTTCTCCTAGGGGTGCCAGGAACGCTTAATGAGACCTGGCTCTTTGAGAAGGAATATTTGAAATTCCAATTTCCATTCACCTAGCAAAAGCTATCAGCTGCTGTTTAGAGCTTTATTTGAGCCACTTTAAAGATGAATCCATATTACCTGGATCCCAAAGCCATTCTTTAGGATCTTAGGGTCACTGTTTTATTCCTGGATACTTTATGCCCCCAACATGCTCCTGAGCCCTCATCCTCTGTTCTCTACTATATTGCCAACTTTTATTCTTTGTTTTATCTGTCTGTCCCTATTTCCTGACCTTCTGTATTCCCCATCTCATCCTTGGAGAGACATATAACCCTGTGGATCTGACCACATCATTCAAGGAAGCCAACCTGACCAGGTATCATGGACTGTCACTCTTCCCTGTGCCCCCAAACTTGAGGCCTAGAACGCAGAACTGCCAACATAACATTTGTCCTTCTCAACAGATGGAGTCAGGCACACTAACACCCCCTGTCCTCAGCAGCACAGCCATTACTGCCACTTGCTCAGTCACTGTTGTAAACCCTCAGAGTCAGCTGAACTATTTTACTGTTTTTGTAAAGTATTTTTCATTAATAAATCTATAAGATAGTTCTATTTAATTCCTTGTCATTTGATTAATTATTTAATTGTTTTTGTATGCTCTTGCTCTTTTGTATTGGGTTGGGAGGCCTGGATAAGCAAGCAATACCAATTCCCAGTGGCCTGCGGCTCCCAAAGAGAGAGAGATAGCACAAACATTACATATGTGTGTGTGTGTGTGTAGCTCTTAACTGAAAGTGAGGAGGAAAAGAGGAGTTGAAGGATATATACTCAAAGTAGGAATCAATGGGCCTTAAAATGAAGTGACTTGTTATTACTGTTGCTAGTGTATATTTCCTATTCCTTTCCTGCCAAGAGGCACTCAATGTATCACATGCTTTCTCCTTCCCTCCTTAAGGAGATTTGCTGGGCATTTGAACTCTTACAAACTCACTCCTGATTTATGTGCTCTTAATGCCCTCCTCCCTCTACAAATTTGTTATATGCCAGCTATCCCTTCCTTACTCTCTTCCCATGGTTGCTCCACCCCTCCTCTTCCCTTGTGTAATTACTGCACTTCTATGGCAGAAAGATCTATTTTTACCCCTGCCTCACTCCCAAATTCTCCTCCCTCTATAAGGTATTTTGTAGGCTCTCTTTGCAAAGTATGCCCACTGGGCATTTCCCTTCTCTTTTACCCCAGATCTAAGGATCATTGAAATTGACAAAAAGAAGAGGTAGAAGGTACTCTGCGACACCTTCAGACCGCTGCTTACCTAATTATCACCATCCGTTATGAACAGATTCTGAGCACTGTAGTACTGAGCAGGAGGATGGGCAGGGATGTCTTACCCCATCCTACTTGGATCTTATGCCATCGAGGTATATAATCATAGTGGATACACTGGTTTCAGTCCATGATTCAGTACATCTCCTGGTGTCATACACACACTCCTCTAATAATTACTGAATGAACAGGCAGGCAGTTCTTGTCGCACTACCCCTTTCCCCATGAATGTTCGCCACCTAATAAGGGTTCCATAAGTCACCTGGGCCCAGATTGTGTATATGTACCAAAGTACTATATTAGGTATTTCTTATGAGGAACTAATTTCCAATTCCCTATTTTATTCCTCTACCTTCGGAATCTCTATATTTTCTGAATGAATTGAGAAGAATTTTCCTTTTCAGGTGAATTCTATAGACTCTGAACATTTCTTGGTGTCATCCCTTACTTTCTCCTTATCTGTTTTGATTCTTAACCCTTAAAGCCTAGTCTGCTCCTGCATTATTCTTACTCTGTGCTCAGACTCTTGACAATTCCAGGTTCTAAACACAAGCACAAACTGTCTCTCAAACTCCATTTTGAACAGTCACTTCACTCTAGAACCTACCATACTTGTTCTGTACCAACCAAAGTCTTCATATCTAGTAGCCAAAATGTTATACATTTGTTTCTCTACTAGTAGATTCTGAATTTTGATCTTATCTTTCCATCTTACTGGGAGCTCCGTGAGCTGGTGTCACGTGTCCTAGCACTCCACCACAGCCTCTAGCTACAGAGCCTTCTCTCCTCACTCTTTCGTTTCTGCCTGCCCACAATTTTAATCTGATCCCTTAGCTTCCTCCTCTTTCCCTCCTAGCTTCAGTAATTTTGCCCACGTCCCTAGAGCCTGCCCCGCCCCCGCCCCCGCACGCGCAGTGCATGCCGGTCTTAGCCCCTCTGTAGGGAAAGAGGGTCCGCCATGTTCCCCGGCGGCGCCGCCGCTGGGCTCTGGTAGCCGCCGCCCCCGCCCCCAACCCCACCCGGCCCGGCGCCCAGCCGAGC